GCTACTAGGGGCTCCTGGCCTTACTACTAGTAACAAGAAGCTACTAGAAACAAAGGGCTACTAGGAACTTCGGCCTTGGAATGGCTCCGGCAGGTCCGAGACATCAAAGGTCAGGCGGCCCTGGTCAACTCGACAATCATCACGTCGAAACTAGTGTTTATATTTGCCATGTATGTTTCCATATGCCGGATGCCTTTTGCTATTGTTTTTAAGGCCTGTTTTTTCTCACACCTTTGTTTCCTTTAGCACCTTTTCTGGACCCTTGTTTCTAGACCCTTCTTTAAAGGCAACGGTTTCTGTAAATCGTTTTTAGGCCTATTGCCTGGGCCTGTTCACATGTTTTCTACTCATGCTGCCCCTGTGCGGATGTGACTAGCAAGAACTTGACAGACCAGTTGGTAGGCCCTGGTCCGCGCAAGGGCTCTTTGAGGCTCTGCACTCGCCTTGCCGACCATGCATACGCCTCAGCAACATCAAAACCACGTAGCGCGCTGGTCCATTCATTGGCATTTGGTCACTCCTTGCTTCCAAACGAGGCACAGCTGTAGACGCATCCAAGCACCAGCAGCATCCCACCAGCTAGGACATACACAGATATCTGGGTGTACCTCCAGAAGGAGCATTAGCAGGCGCCCTGCAGGCATGTCCAGCCAAAGCCCACATGAAAGGCCCCCGAACTTGGCAAAATATGAACCAAAAGCCTTCTGGTAGAAGAAGGGAGTCGCCCTGCATATTTTCATACAGTAACTTGATTGCTAGCTGAATGACTTGAAATGGAAGAAAAGTACAGTAGAAAAAACATGCGACCAAATCCCTTGCCACCTTGCCACATCGATGCAGCTTGGAATGCTGCCTGCCAGCTGACCGTCACCTGTGTAGCCACTGCAATCCGAAACAGTTGTCCAATTGACAAACGTCTCCAACACTCACTTGCTTGCAAAAAATATGTATGTATATATATATATATAGTGTGTGTGCGTGTGGGTGTGACAATACATTGTAACGTATAACAACAAACAGGCAGGAGGCCTTGGCAAACAAGCTCTTGCGCACCTCCAACATAGCCTGAAGGCTACTCCGAGGACACAAAGCACGCCGGCAGATGCAAATGTGGATAGCGTTCAACCGCAGTCACTTATGCAACCGCCTCTTTTTTTGTATGGGATGTTGCCACTGCCCGTCGACCTTCCTCCGTACAAGTCAACTTGTTGCCAAGATCTAATATGTATCCACGGAGACGACGCCCAAACCACGAACACACCCCAGACTCACGTGTGACGTGCGTATAGAAAATATGTTGCCCCGAGTCGTCTGTCTAAGCTTTGTCCAGTAGTCTGTGAGCAAACGCACGCCGAATAGCACACTCAAGCCATTTCTTGCTCATGCAACATGGAGCCTAAAGAAGTTAGGACATGCTAGGACCATTCGCAGAATGCATCCGCTTACTTTCTCCCCTCTGTCTGTCTCTCTCTCTCTCTCTCTCTTACCATCGCAGCCAAGGTGCCCTCTGTGCAGCTTGCTGTACAAGTTTCTCCCTCCTAGGCAACGTCGGTTGTCAAAAGCCAAGCCTTCTGGGAAGTCAAAGGCTGTCCTTCAGTCCGACAATGGGGAGGCCGTCGCAGTCATCGACCAGGCCGACACCTGAGTTCTAGTCACTAGTCCAAGAAGGAACTCCGCATTTTGTAGTTAAATGAACCCTCTAAAAACATCCGAATGAAAGCAATCGAAAACATCTACCGTGTCTGCCTTGGCATGTTCAATGCGAAGGCTGATTGAGAAAAGCTCTGATTCAAGCCGCTTGCTAGCCACCTTCATTTCGCCAAGCATCCACCTGGCAAACCGCCGCAAGACACAGGCACCACCTGAGTTGAGTCATTGAAGTTCACGGCTCTTGTATATAAATATTTGGCCTCTAAGAGCAGCAATCCAATGTGTTACTACTTATCACAAGTGAATCGCTACTAGGCTCAAGTAGCGATGCACTTGTTATTACAGTGGTTCAGTAGTTCTCTCTCTCATTACATCTTACCAATCCTGCAAGGCCTTGTGCCCGAAGCCTTAGGCTCCCTGTCTGACTCCAACAGTTCCGTTCCAACTTTAAAGGCCAGGTCACGAGCTCGGCTTGCCCTGAGCCTTGAACAGCACGAGGTTCAGGAATATGTGTAGAAACCGCTTAAAGAATTGTATACGGTAAAGAAACAAGGTGAGCCCGCGGACCCAAAAGCAAAAAGAAGCGCACAACCCAGGAAAAATAAACAAACACAAATTAGCAGGCCAAAACGAAGCATCAGCCCCCTCCAGGCTTCGTGGCAACTATGATATTTCAAGCGTCGCGGTTCTGGTGCAACACAGCTCCACTCACCTCCCAACGGGCTTCCGCGAAGCATGGAGCAGCACTACCCCCACCCATGCTTCGTTCTACTTGTGCACTGACCCGGAGCAGCCTGCAATGATGCTTGTGGTGCAACCATGTGCTCGACGCAACTTGACCGTCTGTCGCGTGCATTGCGCACTTTTTGGACACCCAAGACCATCGTATAAGCCCCGTAGCTCCACTCACCTCCCAACGAGCTTCCGCGAAGCATGGAGCAGCACTACCCCCACCCATGCTTCGTTCTACTTGCGCACTGACCCGGAGCAGCCTGCAATGATGATGATGATGATGATGCTTGTGGTGCAACCATGTCCTCGTAACTAGCATATCAGCCGCGCAAGCGTCCACACCCATGCACTCCCCAGCCCCGTCCACACCCAAGCCACGCCGTCTCACTCCCCTCCATCTTCCCTCCCCAGCCCTGTCCACACCCATGTGCGCCTCCCACTCCCTTCCTTCTTCCCTCCCCACCCATCCATCTTCATGCGCCCCCCGTCTCGCTCCCCTCCATCTTCCC